CCCCAAAACCCCAAAACCCCAAAACCCCAAAACCCCAAAACCCCAAAACCCCAACAATAAAAATTTTTATTGAAAGCAACTAATTAGAATGACTGAACCACCATTGTCTTACTCCTATTCTCCATCTGGAGGGGTGGTTGGTACCTACCAAAGGGGTTTCCAGACTCTTCTTCATTGAATAAAGTCTGAAGCGAGTTCTCGTATATTGTAGGGTCTGTGTTTTGGAACACAGGGGCTTTTACATCTAGTTCAACATTGACTTGGAAGACATCTTTGCTCTTCACTCCATCAAAGCTGAAAGATTTCTTTGAGATATATGTAAATACACTGTATGGAGGAATTATTGCCTTGTATCTAAATTTTAGCTTAATTATAATCCTACATCTTTCCTTCATGTAAATCATAAGTGTCCTGGGCTCAGTTCTCACATTCTTCAGGAATGATAATCTTGATGATGGTTCCATGCCCTGAAGACCTTGGCATGAGCTGGTTGCATATCATTCTGGGGTCGGCATTATCCTTGTCAATGTAAACAATTTGATAGTTGACAAACCTTAATCTATCTCCGTTCCTTGCGTACTTTAGAGGCCAGTGGGAGACGTACAGATATGCATTATAGCTATAATTTTAAACGAAATTCTTACCTCTCTGTATTCAGGTTGGATCTTTGCGAAATATACCAATTTAGAGCCTGACAATATCTCGCAGAACACCTTAAAACTGTCCTGTAATGATTCTTGCTCTTTTCAGGGTAAATTTTGCTGTAGAATTCTGGTGTTTCTTGATAAAGTGATGGCTTAATTGAGTCAAACAGGATTGCCCTATTGATCATATCTCTAAAAGTCTCTAAAAGTTAGGTGAAAACTCTACCCTGGTACAGCCATGACTGGAGGTAGAAGATCTCATAAGTCTTGCTCAGGTCTTCTGAGCCAGCAGCCTGCACTGCAGATTCTCTCAATTGATCAAGACTTTCATAAGTATCTGTATTAAACAATATCGCTTGCAGATCACTGATGACTTCTCTGACAGAGAAGGAAAATTCCCCAATTTCTGAGACAAATCTTTGCTGGGATTGAAGAGCTGCATAAAAGGTCTTGTGTAAATTCTGGTAAGGATTTACTTCAGCAGTCACTGAGGTATCCGTAACCCCTTCGCTCATTATAGATGCATCAGGGTGTAACAGATTGTAGATAACGTTAGTGTTAGCATACAAGGTTTGCTTCTTTATGTAATACAATTTCTCAGTCCCTAAACAATAACAGAGAGCATACCAAAATTTGAGAGCTTTCGTTGCCCATTAGTGTTATCTTTTACCTGATCCTGAAGGATTTGAGTGATCTTCTTCTTGATTGGGATCTCCTCGTGATCAAGATTTGACTCAAATATTTCATCGATTTTCGAGATATGATTTGTGACGGACTTTGGTGGCTGTTTGTTGAGGGGCTCCTTTCCTGGGATATCAGGCTTTGTTCAAAAATATGAGACTACAAGAATGATCCCTCACAAGGAGAATATTGCAAGAAAGATGATAACAGTCTTTAAGGCTATTGAGAAATAGGCGTGCTTCGTTTCATCTCTTTTAGGTGGTTTACGAGCATTGTCGTTATGATATCTCAAGAGAATTTGTGCATAATCAGACTCATTATTCGAATTCAATGCTTGGGTATCTAATGAATGCTTTATTTTAGCAGAACTCATGAGTCGGTTTTGGATCATCCTACCACTCTTGGTATCTTCTCTCAAACTAGTCAGCTCCTTGCAGCCAGTTAATGCTAGGAAGATAACAGCTAGGTAAACTAGAGTTATGTGCACCCTTTTCAGAGCCATTTTATTTGCAAATATTTAAGCAATGATATGATTGCAGCAGGGGTTTTGGGGTTTTGGGGTTTTGGGGG